CAAAAAGAAATAAGTTCAAAGTTTGAGATCAATTTTGAGAAATTTGATGGGATTGAGAAAAGGTTCGATATTGGAAGATTACGTGAAGAGAGAGCAGAGAATGGAAAAGGATAAAGGAATTGAGGAGCAGCAAAAGAGGTAGAAGACAAAGAAGAAGAAGAAGGATAAGCTAAAAACGATGGTTCCGGAGCGTAGTCATGCGAGGTTAAAGATGATGGTACTCTACTTTTTAGTGAGTATCATTGTCGGGGAGACCAAGAACTCGGGTAAGAAAGCAATGCCTATAGATATTCTATCTCTAAGAGCGGTTAACGATCTGGAGTTTTGTGCTACTTTTCCTTGAGGGAGGTATTCGTTTGAGAATATGCTCAAGTCGATCGTGCACACTATGCGCCATTTTGATTGGGAAGTGGAGAAAGAAGGATCAATATGGCCGGTTCCAAGATTTTGTATCCCGATTGAGGTTAGTGTTGTTTATTAAATCGAATTTCATTGTGATTGTTAACTCATATTGTTTTAACATTAATTATATGTATTGTGTAGTTATTAGCTTTTGAGGCAATTCCTACACTCGGTTCCGAATTCATTGAATGGATTCCAGAGGCGGACATAGAGTGTCGCCGGATGTGTAGGAAGACGTTCAAGAAAGGGGCGATGAAAGGGTTTCCTCTCAAGAAGCTGAATGACATTCTCGGTGAAACTAAGGTTAGTTGTAAAATTCATTGAAACTTTCACTAGTACTTGGGTGTTTTTAATGTGTGTGTGTGTGTGTTTTCTTTGTTTACACAAGATATTGTCATTCCATGCACTGATCAATAATCTCATCTTTTGGAAGAAATCATAGATGAAGGTTACGAAGATGATGATGTGCATAAAATGTCATGGTTGAGAGTTGAATGAAGCTCATTTCAAAAGGTAAGTGTGTGTTTTTGGAAGAGATGTTCGAACAAGATTTGGTGGCCCGGTTAGGACTGCTAACAGACGCCCTTCCTCAACCGAGAGTAGCCTGCACTTATTTGGCGGATCTGGTCAACTCACTACAAAAAGAAATGAGTTCAAAGTTTGAGATCATTTTTGAGAAGTTTGATGGGATTGAGAAAAGGTTCAATGAATAGGAAACTTACGTCAAGATAGAGCAGAGAACGGAATAAGATGAAGGAATTGAGGAGCAGCAAAAGAAGCAGAAGACGAAGAAGAAGAAGAAGGGTCTGAAACGACCAGCCCTAGACCCTGTTCCAAGACCCAAGATAAGGTCTAAGAAAAACTAGATGTGGTTCTGGATTTGGATATGGATTCAGAGAGCATGCGTTAATGTCGGGTTTGGATTGTCGTACATATCAGGAGGAGTAGAAGAATGCAGGAAGTGAAAAGTTCAAGAAGAAGCACTTCAAGAATCTTAACAGGGTAAGATTGCAAGACGCCAAGGACAAGCTAAAGACGATGGTTCCGGAGCAAAGTCATGCGATGTTGAAGATGATGGTACTCTAGTTATAAGTGAGTATCATTATCGGGGAGACCAAAAACTCGGGTAAGAATGCAACGCTTGTAGATAGCCTATGTCTAAGGCAATTAACGATCTGGAGTTTTGTGCTACTTTTCCTTGGGGGAGGTATTCGTTTGAGGACATGCTTAAGTCGATCGCGCACATTATGCGCCATTTTGATGGGGTGGTGGAGAAAGAATGATCAACATGGCCGATTCCAAGATTTTGTATCCCGATGGAGGTTAGAGTTGTTTATTAAATCGAATTTCATTGTGATTGTTATCTCATATTGTGTTAACATGAATTATATGTGTTGTGTAGTTATTTGCTTTTGAGGTAATTCCTACACTCGGTTCTGAAATCATTGAATGCATTCCAGAGGCGGATCTAGAGTGTCCGCATATGTGTAGGAGGACATTCAAGAAAGGGGCGATGAAAGGGTTTCCTCTCAAGAAGCTGAATAACATTCTCGGTCAAGTTAAGGTTAGTTGTACAATTCATTGAAATTCTCACTAGTACTTGGGTGTTTTTAATGTGTGTGTGTGTTTTCTTTGTTTACACAGGATATTGTTTCTGTCATTCCATGCACCGATGACGATTCTTATCTTTTGGAAGAAATCATGGATGAAGGTCACGAAGATGATGATGTGCATAATGTCGTGGTTGAGAGTTGGATGAAGTTCATTTCGAATGGTAAGAGTGTGTCTTTGGAAGAGATGTTCCAACAAGATTTGGCGGCCCGGTTATGACAGTTTACAGACTCCCTTCCTCAACTGAGAGTAGTCTGCACTAATCTGGCGGATCTGGTCAACACCCTATAAGAAGAAATGAGTTCAAAGTTTGAGATCATTTATGAGAACTTTGATGGGATTGAGAAAATGTTCAATGAATTGGTTGCTTACATGAAGAGAGAGCAGAGAACGGAAAAAGATGAAGGAATTAAGGAGCAACAAAAGAATCAGAAGACGAAGAATGATCAGAAACGACCAGCCATAGACCCCGTTTCAAGACCCAAGACATGGTCTAAGAGAAACTAGATGTGGTTGTGGATTTGGTTGTTGATTGAGAGAGCATGCGTTAATGTCGGGTTTGGATTGTTCCGGAGCATAGTCATGCGAGGTTGAAGATGATGGTACTCTACTTTTTAGTGAGTATCATTGTCGTAACTATCCGGAGGACTACAAGAACGCGGGAAGTGAAAGGTTTAAGATGTAGCAGTTCAAGAATCTTAACAGGGTAAAATTGCAAGACATCAAAGACAAGCAAATGACGATGGTTCCGGCGCGTAGTCATGCGAGGTTGAAGATGATGCTACTCTACTTTTTAGTGAGTATCATTGTCGGGGAGACCAAGAACTCGGGTAATAATACAACGCCAATAGATAGCATATGTCTAAGAGCGGTTAACGATATAAAGTTTTGTGCAACTTTTCCTTGTGGGAGGTAATCGTTTGAGCACATGCTCTAGTCGATCGCGCACACTATGTGCCATTTTGATGGGGTAGTGGAGAAACAAGGATCAATATGGCCGGTTCCAGGATTTTGTATCCCGATGGAGGTTAGTGTTGTTTATTAAATCGAATTTCATTGTGATTGTTAATTACCTCATATTGTGGTAACATGAGTTATATGTGTTGTGTAGTTATTAGCTTTTGAGGCGATTCCTACACTCGGTTCTGAAGTTGGAATACATTGGACTAGACTTCTTCTTCGAACCACAGAAGACACTACACTTCTTCAAAGTTTGATGCCTTCTTTCTCTCTTCCCTTCAGCCTTTAAAAGAAACTGTGGAAAAGGCTATAGGTAGAAGTGATATGAGGGATGTCGCGTAAACCCGTGCATACTTCGGATCTCATGGATACCCGAATAAAAAGAGTTATAAAAAAAAACCAGAAAAGAAAGAAAAAAAAAGAGAAGAAAAAGGAATCGTTGAAAAAATAAAATGATACCCTAGAAAAGGAGGGAGATGTCGATTACCTTAAAAGTGAGAAAAGGGAGAAGAAATGAAATCATACGAAAAATGTCTTGGTTTGAGAAGAGTCCATATGCCATTGATCGATATTCCCTCGGTAAGAATTAATCTTTACTTGTTTTAAATTATGTAAAGAGATGACAATGGAGAGACTGGAGATTCCTGAGGATTGTGGGATTAGAGTAAGGAATGTTGATACTTCTCATAGGCAAAGTACATAAAGTAAGTTCTAGAGTCAAGGCGATGAAGAGTGCAAAGAAGAGTTTCCTGCAGTTGAGTGAGTTCCCGCGTTTTCAAACTTCTTTCACAGGTTAAGTTTCTGTTTTGCTTGAGGGCAAGCAAAGGCTAAGTCTGGGGGAGTTGATATATCATTGGTTTTACGGGTTTTTGGCCATTATATAAGTCTTATTTATAGAGCTTTTATAGTGTTTTCGAGTCTTTTGCAGTCATTTCAGGATTAGGAGCTATTTGACATGGATTGGAGCATTTGGGAGCATTTGGAGGAGATGTGCCGAAGGAACATACCGGGAGAGCATATTTGGTGTGAGTGTCGAGCGTCACAACCTCTGGTGTCGATCGACACCAATATCTGACGGCAATTGAATTTCTCGCTTAATTGAAGTTCAGAAGATTTGCAGATTCGGCCCAGAAGTTTCCCTTATTTGCAATTAAGCCCAGTTCGTGGTTAAGACATATATATTGAGTTCTTAGGGTTTTGTAAAGACTTAAGGTTTATTTTAAAGTGAGAGAGATTTGTAGAGAGCCAGGAGAGAAGAATCCAAACCTCTTTCAGAGAAGATTCAAAACTCTTTTACTTCTTCTATTACTTTCTTTTATGATATCTATTTTATTCATGATGTTTGTTTCATTCACCATGTTTGAGTAGATTTCTTGTTAGGTTTAGGGTTTTCAAAGGAATTTACGAATTGTTAGGTTGTTAGATTGTTAGGATTGAATCAATAGAATTCTTCATCTAGATTGTAGTTAATTTGTTCTAGATTAGTGAAAGCAACCTAGAATCTGATCTTAGGTTAATTGGTAGACACGAAAGTGTTATTGATTTCCTGAAAATAATCTAGATGAGCAAAATTCCTATTCGCAAAGAGATTTGGTTTAGGGATTTTGTGAACTTATCAAACCTGAATTAAATGTATGTCTGAAACTTATAAATTTGCAAAGAGATTTGGAATTTAGGGTTCTAGACATAGATAATCTTTACAACGAAAGTTGATTGAAAATGCTTTTGTGATTTGAGTTCAAGAACTGTGATTTGAGTTCAAGAACGGTGCTTTATAAATCCTGACAATTATTTATTTGCAATTCTGAATTTCCTGAGAATATCCATGAGCCTAGCGTTTCCTCATTATTGTTTTAAAACCAATCTTTAATTTAATTTGCTGTTTTTATTTGATTTAAAACCTGCTTGCTTAGCTTAATTTAATGCCGAATATCTATTGTGTAATCGTTGAGTCTCTGTGGATTCGATCCTTAAGTACTACAGTGATCTCTTAATTGAGAGAGTAGCTCAGGGTAAATTTGAGCCGATCAATAAACAACACGAACCTCTACCGGGATACAAAATCCTGGAACCGGCCATATTGATCTTTCTTTCTCCACCACCCCATCAAAATGGCGCATAGTGTGCGCGATCAACTTGAGCATATGCTCAAACGAATACCTCCCCCAAGGAAAAGTAACAAAAAACTCCAGATCGTTAACCGCTCTTAGACATAGGCTATCTACAGGCGTTGCATTCTTACCCGAGTTTTTGGTCTTCCCGACAATGATACTCACTAAAAAGAAGAGTACCATCATCTTCAACCTCGCATAACTAAGCTCCGGAACCATCGTTTTTACCTTGTTCTTGACGTCTTGCAATCCTACCTTGTTAAGATTTTTGAAGTGCTTCTTCTTGGACCTTTCACTTCCCACGTTCTTGTAATCCTCCGGACAGGTATGACAATCCAAACCCGACATTAATGCATGATCTCTCAATCCACAACCACATCTAGTTTCTCTTGGACCTTGTCTTGGGTCTTGAACGGGTTTAGGGCTGGTCGTTTCTGACCTTTCTTCTTTTTCGTGTTCTTTTTCTTTTGCTGCTCCTCAATTCCTTCATCTTCTTCCGTTCTCTGCTCTCTCTTCACGTAAGCTTCCAATCCACTGAACCTTTTCTCCATCCCATCAAACTTCTCAAAATGATCTCTAACTTTGAACTCATTTCTTCTTGTAGGGTGTTGACCAGATCCGCCAGATTAGTGGAGGCTATTCTCGATTGAGGAAGGGCGTCTGTAAGCAGTCCTAACCGGGCCGCGAAATCTTGTTTGCACATCTCTTCCAAATACTTACCCTTACCTTTCAAAATGAGCTATAAAACTCTAATCCAGAAGGGAAAGAAAACAAATCTAAAATAAACACTCTAGCAAACTAACATCCTCCACCTAATCTATCCCATTCTCAAGAACCCTAACACTACTCAGACACAGAAATCATGTTAAACATCATGAAACAAGAATCGTTTAAAACATTCATAATAATAAAGATGACAGGAAGAGTAACAACAATGATTCAAGAACTAGTTGCAAAATATCAACAACTCAAAAGAAATAGAATTACAATTTTCTGGATTGTTTGGTGGCTAACAACAAAAACCTAAAAAATAACTCGATCCCCTGGGCAATCCAAATGAGACCTATTTATAACAATCTTTGGGAAAACTTTAAAACATAAAACGACAACGTAAAAGCGGTTCAAAAGTTGTTGTGACTAAGTTGGTCGAGTGAGCATCTCGAGTGAGCATCTTTTCTGCTTTGCTCGATCGTGTCACTCGAGTGTGCACGTCGAGTGACGGTTGTTTCGCATTCCTTCTTCTCACTCGATCACCCTACTCGATCAACCGCTCGATCTGCTACTCGATCATTCTACTCGGTCCCGTCCGTCGAGTGAAGTGTGTTTTTGCAACGCACCTCTGTTTCTCACTCGATCGTCCCACTCGATCATGTGCATGTCGAGTAACGCTTGTTCCTCTGCTTCGCTCTGCATGTCTCCTAAGTACCTGAAACACTCCAAATATGCAGAATGTATGCAAGACATGCATGATATGCATAAAACCTACCTAAGTATGTAAAACATGCAGAAAGGGATCAATATGATGCGAATCAACAAGGGAATGATGCTGAAAAGATGATGAATACATGCTCAAAAAGTGATGAGATACAGACTTATCAACTCCCCCAAACTTAGTCTTTGCTTGCCCTCAAGCAAAGCAAAAGAAACAAAGTGGAAGAGAGGTTTGAAAATGGGGTCTCAGAACCTATAAACTTGCAAGATATAGCAGTTAAAATCAATGTCCTGGTTGCTAAGTATTTGATGCATGCTAAGAGAACTTTACTTAAAGACTTTAGACAAACCCATCAAATCCGAAACTGATTCTATCCCTTGATCTACACATGCATTCAAATCATTCATTCCTTTTAACATTCATTACTCAAGAATGTGAATCTGGTTGTGCAAGGCTTAACAAACTCACTTGGCTAGGCAGAAAAAGGTTTTGAGAATCAAGAGGGTTTAAACAATTTCAGGACAAGGATCTCTCAATGAATGGACTGAGCTTTAGGGAGAATGCTAAAGGTAAGGACCAACAAATGCATACAGGAATAAAACCTTGACTGCCCAATGGTTCCCAAGTGCTTACTCCTAATCATCTAAACCCGAATGATCCCTATGTCTACCCTTAAACATCAATCCCATTTTTTTTTCTTTTTGCCTTAGGAGAAGTTTCTTATCAATACTAGTGGATAGGGGGTTTCTTCTTTACTATGGTTCTGTTTTCTTCTTACGTTGTAAGACATCAAAACTTTTTCTCTTTCTTTACATCCCAAAACCATTCTCTGTATATCACGCTATCCCCACAAAAATCAATCACTAGAGTATAAACTTCTAGAAAAACATTCTCCTCCTAAGGACACAACTTTTTCTGTTTCTCTTCTTTCTTTCCACAATCATTCCAATCCCAAACCCAAGTAAGAATCCAGACCTAGTCCTATCTGATTTGAAAGTGAAAATCAGAACTACTCAAGATTTTAATCATGTCGGCTCATACCTAACACGTTCTCCCCAAGCATAATCCGGTAAAAGACCTACCACTCAAAAATTATCAATTGGCTTGAAAGAAAAGGGTAGGTTGTGGGTGTGGCAAAACATAACCAGATATTTGCAAGTCAAGATTAAGTTCTTGTAAGATAAGGAATGAGATCATATCACAACATGTTTCAACCAATTTCAAGAATGCTCTCCATGAATTCTAATTTTGTTTCAGACTTACTTCAAGTTCAATCATCATGCATCAAAGAGCTAAAAACCAGGGCATTGATCTCAACTGGTGAATCATAGCAAGTTAACAAGGTGTAAATCATCATCGCCCCCTATGCTAATGCAACAATCCTACATGAAACAATCTAGACTCAATCCTAATATGCAAATGCAAGCTACATGATCACTCTGTTTTAAAAGATTTTTTCTGGAAATTTTTTAAAATTTTAGGGGTTTTCAATGCACATATATGAATGCAAATTATATGCTAAAAATTCAAAATAAGAAAAGAGAACATAACATCAAATGTCATCCCAAACCCTCCCCCAAACTTAAATTACACAGTCTCTTGTGTAATAAAAATTTGAGAGTTGGTTTGAGAATCAAACAAACAATAGTATGAAAATGCAATGGTATATACATATGAAGGTTTGGAGTGGTACCTTACTGAAAATAGCAGTCCATGTACTGTAAATAGCAATGGTACACTTAGCTAGTTTGTCACGGTCACACTATGCAGTCGAGTGAACCTTGGTGAATTCGGTCGAGTGAGAGGTGGTGAAACTCAAGCGCGTCGAGGGGGCTGAGACGTGTGAAGCTTGGTTAGCTCGAGTGAGGCTGCCGAGTGAATCGCGTGGGAGTGGAGTGAAGTAGCTCGAGTGAGCTGGTGAAGACAGGTCCGTCGAGTGAGCTCAGTGCACGACGTGTCTCGAATATAGTTGCTACGGTCGTGTGAGGATTGTGAGCTCCGCCGTCGAGTGAAGAGTTTTACCGTCGCGTGTTGGAGACGCGCTGGTCAAGTGGGTTGACGGTGAAGTGCGTCGGGTGAGCTTAGCTGAGTGGGAGAAGGAATCGAGTGAATAAACACGAGTGATGTGTGGAGCGTGTCAATCGAGTGAGAGCAGAACCGATTCCGTCAAGTGGCTTCTACGACGGGCGAGAGAGATGGCGGCACACCGAGTGGGAGCTCGAGTGACGATGGTCGAGTGAGAAAGAGCATGTGCTCAAACGAATACCTCCCCAATGAAAAGTAGCACAAAACTCCAGATCGTTAACTGTTCTTAGACATAGGCTATCTACAAGCGTTGCATTGTTACCCGAGTTCTTGGTCTCCTCGACAATGACACTCAGTAAAAAATAGAGTACTATCATCTTCAACCTCGCATGACTACGCTCCGGAACCATCGTCTTTAGCTTGTCCTTGACATCTTGCAATCTTACCCTGTTAAGATTCTTGTAGTGCTTCTTCTTGAACCTTTCACTTCCCGCGTTCTTGTTATCCTCCGGATAGGTATGACAATCCAAATCCAACATTAACGCATGCTCTCTCAATCCACAACCAAATCCACAACCACATCTAAAATGGAGCATAGTGTGCCTTGTCTTGGGTCTTGAAACAGGGTCTAGGGCTGGTCGTTTCTGACCCTTCTTCTTCTTCTTCGTCTTTTGCTTCTTTTGCTGCTTCTCAATTCCTCCATCTTCTTTCGTTATCTGCTCTCTCTTCACGTAAACTTCCAATTCATTGCACCTTTTCTCAATCCCATCAAACTTCTCAAAAATGATCTCAAACTTTGAATTCATTTCTTCTTGCAGGGTGTTGACCATATCCGCCAGATTAGTGGAAGCTACTCTCGGTTGAGAAAGGGCGTCTGTAAGCAGTCCTAACCGGGCCGCAAAATCTTGTTCGAACATCTCTTCCAAAAACACACCCTTATCATTCGAAATGAGCTTCATTCAACTCTCAACCATGACATTATGCATATCATCATCTTCGTGACCTCCATCCATGATTTCTTCCAAAAGATAAGATTCTTTATCGGTGCATGGAAAGACATATACAATATCTTGTGTAAACAAAGAAAACACACACACATACATTAAAAACACCCAAGTACAAGTGAAAGTTTCAATGAATTGTACAACTAACCTTAGTCTTGAGAGGAATCCCTTTCATCGCCCCTTTCTTGAACGTTCTCTTATACGCCCGCGGATACCCTATGTCCGCCTCTAGAATCCATTCAATGAATTCAGAACCGAGTGTAGGAATTACCTCAAAAGCTAATAACTATACAACACATATAATTCATGTTAACAAAATATGAGTTAACAATCACAATGAGATTCGACTTAATAAACAACACTAACCTCCATCGGGATACAAAATCCTGGAACCGGCCATATTGATGCTTCTTTCTCCACCACCCCATCAAAATGGCGCATAGTGTGCGCGATCCACTTGAGCATGTGCTTAACCGAATAACTCCTAAAGGAAAAGTTGCACAAAACTCTAGATCGTTAACCGCTTTTAGACATAGGCTATCTACAGGCGTTGCATTCTTACGCGAGTTCTTGGTCTCCCCGACAATGATACTCACTAAAAAGTAGAGTACCATCATCTTCAACCTCCCATGACTATGCTCCGGAACCATCGTCTTTAGCTTATTCTTGACGTCTTGGAATCTTACCCTGTTAAGATTCTTGAACTGCTTCATCTTGAACCTTTCACTTCCTGAGTTCTTGTAGTCCTCCGGATAGGTACGACAATCCAAACCCGACATTAACGCATGCTCTCTCAATCCACAACCAAATCCACAACCACATCTAGTTTCTCTAGGACCATGTCTTGGGTCTTGAAACAGGGTCTAGAGCTGGTCGTTTCTGATCCTTCTTCTTCTTCTTCTTTGTCTTCTGCTTCTTTTGGTGCTCCTCAATTCCTTCTTCTTTTTCCGTTCTCTGCTCTCTCTTCATGTAAGCTTCCAATTCATTGAGTTTTCTAAATCCCATCAAAGTTCTCAAAACTGATCTTAAACTTTGAACTCATTTCTTCTTGTAGGGTGTTGACCAGATCCGCCAGATTAGTGCAGGCTACTCTCATGTTGAGGAAGGGCGTCTGTAAACAGTCCCAACTGGGCAGCCAAATCTTGTTCGAACATCTCTTCCAAAAACACACCCTTATCATTAGAAATGAACTTCATCCAACTCTAACCCACGACATTATGCACATCATCATCTTCGTGACCTTCATCCATGATTTCATCCAAAAGATAAGAATCTTCATCGGTGCATGGAATGACAGAAACAATATCCTGTCTAAACAAAGATAACACACACCCAAGTAGTAGTGAGAATATCAATGAATTGTACAACTAACCTTAGTTTCACCGAGAACGTTATTCAGCTTCTTGGAGGAAATCCTTTCATCGACCCTTTCTTGAACGTCCTCCTACACATCTGCGGACACTCTAGATCCGCCTCTAGAATCCATTCAATGAATTCAAGGTAGGAGACTAAGTCCAATTAAGTCTTAATAAAAGTAGAGACAACGTTAGATCAACTGGATATCCAATGAATAAGGACTTTCAGGATTGTTGATACAGCTCAAAGTCATTCCAAAATTCGGTTCTGAGATCAAGCATAATCAAGAGTCATAAGAGTGTTAATCCAAATCAGAGAAACCGTTAGACTGAGTTCATAGTTCCCAACAAAAATTTTGACTCAATAAAACAAAAACTTTTTGGACTTACTCGATAAAACTCCAAAAGAATAAACAATATGAGTAACTACCTCCCCCAGACTTATAAAACACTGTCCCTAGTGTTACCCAAGTCTAAGATTGGCGAACAAAAGAAAATAAAACTAAATTAAATGCAAAAGAAATAGAAAAAACTCACAAGTAGGTTGCCTCGCACTAAGCACTTGTTTTCAGTCATTAGCTTGACTTTGTCGGGGTTCATGTATCCGGTGGGTCGGGAAGCGGCACTAAATGCCTCCGAGAATAGTGTCTCATCATCCAAGGTGGTTTATAAGCATTAGGTGTAGGAGATCGACCAAGTACACGAGGAACAGCAGCAGGGCATAGTCTAGGTATGGGTGGGACACTTCTTCTACCTGCAACATCATCAAAAGAACCAACAAGCGCTCTACGATAATCTCGTGGCTTGGTTAACTGCAAAACAGTCTTTGTACCTTTGAAAGTCTTATTGATGATATGAGAAGGTTTGGGTAAAGAAGTTGCGTACCTTTGCTTTTCTCGAGGTCTCTGGAGTATGGGTGGTGAAGCTTTCCGATTCAGAACAGGGCTCAAGCTTGCAACAATAAGATCAACCCGAAAACCATCCATTTTTGGCAAGTTCGGACTGTCGTGGTGAGGGGTGTCGATCGACACCATGGTGGTTCATAACTGCCTTCTCAACTCTACGACTGCCTTCTCAACTTTTCCTTGTCAAAGTTCATAACCAAATCATAAACATGCAGTTCAATCTTTCCTTTCTGAACATCTATAAGAGCACCACCGGTAGCCAAGAAAGATCTCCCAAGGATAATCGGATCCTTAGGTTCTTTAGCATACTTAAGAACAACAAAATCAGCAGGAATCATGCATTCACCAACTCTTATCAAAACATACTCTAAAATACATTTGGGAATCCTTTTCGATCTATCAGCTAAGATAAGAGAGATCCTAGTCGGCTTGAAATCTGTCATCCCAAGTCTCACAGCAACAGAGTATGGTATCAAGTTGATACCTGAGCCAAGATCACAAAGAGAATGAGGAAATCTTTCTGTGAAGATAGAGCAGTCTAGCACGAAACTTCCTGGATCAGGTAACTTCTCCGGAATCCTGCTCTGAATCATGGCACTAACTTTTTTAGAAACAAACACTTTCTTCTTCTTTTCTTTCTTACTCTGTGGGGTATGTTTCAAGAAGATAGCACCCATGTCTCTAGCCAGCAAAGCTCCTTCCTCAGGGCTCACGTCATTTTGGACCATCCTCTTAACACACTGTTTAAGCATAGGTGAATCACGATCTGCATGATCTAGAGGTATCTCAGTAACCACCTTTTCCATCATTGCCTTGCATCGAGCTTCTTCTATCTCCTGTTTAGAATTCCTAGGCTTTGAAAAAGGAACCTTAGGCTTGTAGATCTTTTCTGTAGATGGTCGCGGAGTTTCGGGAAAATCCGGTTGAGTCTGTGAGGGGTGTCGATCGACACAGGGAAGGTGTCGCTCGACACAGTGATCTGGTCTCGATAAGGTGGTCTCGATCGCGGTCGATATTGGTCCGTAAGGAGCCAAATCCACGAGAACTGGTGTTAGTGTCGATCGACACCGTGAGATGGTGTCGAGCGACACTTGCTGTGCAAGTGCAGTTTCATCATCGTCACTTGTTTCCTCCTCCCACACATTATCTCTATCTCTAATCAAAATGGCATTACACCCTTCTCGTTTCTTCACAGATCTAGTAATCCGTGCAACAAGAGTTTCTAACTTATTGATATAAGTGCTCAGAGCTTCGATTTTTCCATTCAAGTCAGTGTAGATGGAATCCATCTTCCCGTTGAAGTCCACTGTCATGTTCTGTTGACCCGCTAGAATCTGTTCTATAATTGACTTCATCTCAATATTTGCAGGTGGAGAGGGAGGTGACTGGTAAGAAGAATTTACATAGGTGCTGACGAAACTGCTGCTGCCTTTCTAACCATACCCATTGTTGTACATGTTACCTTGTGTGTTACCAAACTTCTGACCTTGATACCCAGCACCATTGACGTAGTTCACGTCTTCTTTTTCATCCTCATATGATTCAAAAGCCTCAACCTCAGCAGCAAACTTAACACTCTTCTTAGTAACAAGAAGGTTATTCACTGAATCGAGCTTTGCCTTAACGTCAGCGAGTTGAACACCATCCAGGTTTTGAGCTCGCTTCTTCCTCTCAAAATCAGCGACTTTAGTACTGTTGCTGGAAGCTAAGTTCTCAATCAGTTTGGTGGCTTGAGCTGGAGACCTTGTGTTGTAGTTACCGTTGCTAGCAGCATCCAAAGCCATCTGGTACCTCCAATCCAATCCTCTGTAGAAAATGCCCAAAAGCTGAAATTTGTCATACCCGTGGTGTGGACAATCTCTCTGATAACCCTTAAAACGCACCCAAGCTTCCTTGAAAGCCTCTGAGATCCGTTAAGAAAAGGTAGAAATCTTTTTCCGCAACTCCTCTGACCTTGCATCATCATAAAAGCTGTTTAAGAACTCAACTTTTACATCCTTCCAGCACGTAAGAGATCCAGGCTTTAACTCCTTCAGCCAAGATAGTGCTTCTCCAGCCAAAGAGTGCTGGAAATGCTTGTAGAGCAGAAAATCCGAAGATACACCATCAGATCCTCAAACTTCTCAATATGGTCCATTGGATGCTCATAAGTATGGCCATGGAACGGGTGTTGTCCTACAAGAGTGTAGTACCCAGGCTTCAACTCAAAGTTGTTCCTCTGAAATGCAGGAGGACGTATGGCAGAGCGGTTAGAATAGAACAGTGCAGGCCTGTTGTATTCTCCAAGTGTACGGTTTTCATCCTCTGTTTCAGCATGCAACGCTAACTGATTGTTGTCTGCTGCGGCTTGGTGTCGCTCGACACCGACGACGACTGGCTCAGGAATCACAGTCCCGTCAGCATTCAGCTTCTGCCCTTGTGCATTCCTCAGATGGCCATCTCCATCTCTAAGAGTACCCTCGGCATCTTGAATCAAAATCACTAGCGCAACCATTGCTGTCTGTTTCTGAGCTTTTCGATTCTCTCTTTCTAAACCCGCTAGTTCTTGATTGTTGAGATCAACTATCTCTGTGTTCTTGCTGCTGGTATTAGGTATAAACCTGAAACACCAAAAAGAAAAGAGAAAAGAAAAGCGTAAAAAACAAAATAAAATAAAAACTTAGACTAAACTCTTAACCTTAATCTAATGGTAATCAAAATTGAGTCCCCGGCAGCGGCGCCAAAATTTGATCCGCTCAAATTTGCCCTGAGCTACTCTCTTAATTAAGAGATCACTGTAGTACTTAGGGATCGAATCCACAGAGACTCAACGATTACACAATAGATATTCGGTATTAAATTAAGCTAAGCAAGCAGGTTTTAAATCAAATAAAAACAGCAAATTAAATTAAAGATTGGTTTTAAAACAATAATAAGGAAACGCTAGGCTCAGGGATATTCTCAGAATATTCAGAATTGCAAATAAATAATTGTCAGGATTTATAAAGCACCGTTCTTGAAGTCAAATCAAAAAAATATATTCAATCAACTTTCGTTGCAAAGATTATCTATGTCGAGAACCCTAAATTCCAAATCTCTTTGCAAATTTATAAGTTTCAGACATGCATTTAATTCAGGTTTGATAAGTTCACAAAATCCCTAAACCAAATCTCTTTCCGAATAGGAATTTTGCTCATCTAGATTATTTTCAGAAAATCAATAACACTTTCGTGTCTACCAATTAACCTAAGATAAAATTCTAGGTTGCTTTCACTACTCTAGAACAAATTAACCACAATCTAGATGAAGAACTCTATTGATTCAATCCTAACAATCTAACAACCTAACAATTCGTAAATTCCTTTAAAAACCCTAAACCTAACAAGAAATCTACTCAAACATGGTGAATGAAACAAACATCATGAATAAAATAGATATCATAAAAGAAAGTAATAGAAGAAGTAAAGGAGTTCTGAATCTTCTCTGAAAAAGGTTTAAATTCTTCTCTCCTGGCTCTCTACAAATCTCGGTAAAACTAAAGTTAGTTGTAGAATTCATTGAAACTTTCACTAGTACTTGGGTGTTTTTAATGTGTGTGTGTGTTTTCTTTGTTTACACAGGATGTTGTATTTGTCATTCCATGCACCGATGAAGAATCTCATCTTTTGGAAGAAATCATGGATGAAGGTCACGAAGATGATGATGTGCATAATGTCGTGGTTGAGAGTTGGATGAAGTTCATTTTGAATGGTAAGGGTGTGTTTTTGGAAGAGATGTTCGAACAAGATTTGGCGGCCCGGTTAGGACTGCTTACAGACGCCCTTCGTCAATCGAGAGTAGTCTCCACTAATCTGGCGGATCTGATCAACACCCTACAAGAAGAAATTATTTCAAAGTTAGAGATATTTTTGAGAAGTTTGATGGGATTGAGAAAAGGTTTAGTGAATTGGAAGCTTACGTGTAGAGAGAGCAGAGAACGGAAGAAGATGAAGGAATTGAGAAGCAGCAAAAGAAAAAAAACACAAAAAAGAAGAAGGGTCAGAAACGACCAGCCCTAGACCCCGTTTTGAGACCCAAAACATGGTCCAAGAGAAACTAGATGTGGTTGTTGATTTGGTTGTGGATTGAGAGAGCATGCATTAATGTCGGGTTTGGATTGTCGTACCTAATCGGAGGACTACAAGAACTCGGGAAGTGAAAGGTTCAAGATGAAGCAGTTCAAGAATCTTAACAAGGTAAGATTCCAAGACGTCAAGGATAAGCTAAAGACGATGGTTCCAGAGCGTAGTCATGCGAGGTTGAAGATGATGGTACTCTACTTTTTAGTGATTATCATTGTCGGGGAGACCAAGAACTCGGATAAGAATGTAACGCCTGTAGATAGCCTATGTTTAAGAGCGGTTAACGATCTGGAGTTTTGTGCAACTTTTCCTTGGGTAGTTATTCATTTAAGCACATGATCAAGTGGATCGCGCACACTATGCGCCATTTTGATGGGGTGGTGGAGAAAGAATGATCAATATAGCCGGTTCCAGGATTTTGTATCCCGATGGACGTTAGTGTTGTTTATTCAATCAAATTTCATTGTGATTGTTAACTCATATTGTGTTAACATGAATTATATGTGTTGTATAGTTATTAGCTTTTAAGGTTTTTAGTTATCTAGAATTTTGATTAATTAATTCATAATAAAAAATTACACTATTCAAATAGCGATTGAATAAAACTAAAATTTATCGATGAAATAACTGATTCACGATTCTGAATTTAGATATCTGCAAATCATGATATATATATATATATATAGATATACTTTAGTTATTATACCGCGGTGTACCGCGGGTTCAAGTCTAGTAGAAAGAGATATTTAAATAGTTTATTTTCCCGCCAAAGGTCGTTAATTATCAAGCTTTAGATTTAAGATCCAAATATATTGCTTAATTGTGTTACTCTGTCATAGATAAGGAAAACCAATAACAGAGTAACACAATTAATTACTTTTATAAAATTATAAAAAACGACAATTATTAATATTAAGTTTGAGTGCAAAAATTTGTCAAAAATTAAACATCTAAGCTGAATATTTGCGCAAAAGTATGTTTCATAATAACATAGGAATAGAGTCAGTTGGTGAAATTCGTTGCAATCTAGAGTCATTTTCAAAAAGTCTAAAAAGCATATGCAAATTCAAAGGTATTCTAGAAGGCTTTGCCATGATTGATCTTACTTATATTATCACAAGCATATACGAGAGATTAATTTAATAGACATACAACACAACATTTTCTAAATTTACGCATCCTAACAAATTCCAAACAAAATTCCCAATAAATAACATTAAAATGGAACCTATAGATATATAAACATATATTGAAGTAGGTTTTATAGATAAGAGAAAACATATGCAAACCAAAATATATATTTAAAAATGAGTTAAAGAAAAAACATGTATTAATCTGAAGGGAACAAAAGAAGATTGGCAAAGTCATGAAATTTTACCTTTGCGTTGAAAGTGAGCAAATGACTTGTGGTTGATTTTGTGATTTTTTTGATGTGGTTGATTTTGTGATGTTCAAGTTATAAAAGAGCCAAATTTATAGGATTATGGATATGTGCTAAAGGGTGCATACATATAGACTTTTATGGTCAAAATTATAATTTTTATGTATTTGACAAATATTATTTTCTTGACTTTTTTTTCCTCCGGTCAAAACTCTCCTTTATTGATACTAAATTATTTCCATATACATAATCTCAATTTGTAGACAAGAATCATTTTTAGGCATTTTTATTTATTTTCATAAATATTCAACAGAAAAAAATAGAGTTTGAACAAAAACTTTTTTTTATTATATTCTCTAAAAGGTGGACCAGATCTTACATTGTAACTTCATATCCCACTAAGGTTGTCTTGGGAAGTTCCCTTAAAGCTCATGCCGATAAATTTCTTGTCTTCTCAGATTCTGTTCATTTTGATGTATTAGTTTATGACCTACGGACTTCTTTGGATCAAGTATAAGAAGAAAGAGAAAAAAAAAACAACCTTTTTTATTTTTTTGTAAAGCCTCATTTTTTATTTTTTATTTCAACTTTTTTTTTAAAAAACAAAATTTAATATGCTGGATTTTGTGTCTCTTTTTGTTAAATTTAAATATCTAGTGTTAGGTCTGCAATTAGAGATGATAAATTAAATATAGCCCACACTAAAAGGTTAATTAGATCTTACATGGTATATATAAGATATAGATCAATCCACTCACAAGCGATCGATAATTGAATATTTTAGTGAAACTAATATAAAACATTTTATGTAGGGAAACTATATCTCGTGTAC